CACTTGATGATTGCCTGTTCTGTTCATTCCCTTTGAAGCACCTGGCATTGACCACTGTTGGAAGACAGGATAGTGGGCTAGATGGACCATTGGTCTGACCAAGTATGGCTGTTCTTATGTGTAAAATGCTACAAAACCAGAATGCTCCACTCATTCACATACACTGGTGGTAGCATTTTTACATCTACTTTGCACAGCTATAAATGACCATCCAAGGTGCAATGGTGGGGAGAGAACCAGGCCCCCTTTCTCCAGGGGTCATTCACCTGGAAATCACCAGTTCTGCAAAACTTAAATGAACTTATTCCCTTAAGTATGCCTGAGTGTTTCCAGGAGCCAGATGTGCTTTGAAACTCCTGGGACAAGCAGTATTGTTAACCTCAAAGAGTTAAAAAGTCATGAGTCAGGTCCGCAAGAAATCATAAGATTGTCTTAATAAACATGAGATTTTTGCCTTCTGGTTTCAGAGCCTTTATAATGTGCAGTCACTTCATATTTTCAAGCTTTTCTTTGAAGTCGTGAGGGCTAGAAACTTACCTTTTTCAGTGAAATCTGCAACTCTTATGAAATAACAGGACTCCACACGCTTTAAGGAAAACATCAAATATCAGGAGACTTGGGATGAAATCACAAGGGTTGGCAACATAAGGAAAGATGCTGCAATCCCATGATCCCTCACACTCACTCATGCTTTACCTGTGTCAGTCCTGCAGGTGTCTCCCCATCAGAGAGAAACCCATCCTAGTTTGTGATTTATCCAGGGAGGAAAGACTATTATAGTCCCACCCCAACCTGAATGCATGGGAGATTTACACCTGATGCACCCTTTCAGGAGTCAGAACCTTTTATTTTTCTCAGTACACAAAATGTGTAATTTTTTTTAAAGTGTATTTAAACTAGAATCCTGTCAGTTTCCTTAACATAGTTGAGAAGCTGCTGTGTTGACAGAATTCCATTCACAATGGGACCAGGTGGGGAGGTAGCAGCCATCAGCCCTGACACAATTTTAATTTCCCCTGGCTCCATGTTGGCCTTTCCCCACTAGCCCAACTCTTTGTCTGTTTGAAATGAAGCATTGACCCCATGAGAAAAGGGTCCCAGGTGCAGATATATGAGACAAGGCAGCTTGTTAATTATCCAACCTCTCTTAACCAGAAGGGTCCTCAGCTTCCTTTGGGTCTTCCTCTCTCCAAACCAATTTCAATAAATCTATTGGCATGACAGGGTAGACAAGTGTTCCCAAAGTTAGTAAGTCCAGTATCTGTGCACAGGATGAGATTTTACATATTTATGAAGCAAATCATGTTTCTCAAAGGTGTCCATTTTGCATTTTTCTTTCTTTCTATCTGTCTGGATACATCTATGCTATGGCCTTGACCAGACTGCACTAATGCAAAGAGAAAGTGGGACAGGGACAGACACACAAACATCACCGACACATGGTTATGTTGCAAATAAGATGCTGTGTGGACCACAACACCCCTTCCCCTTTTCTGTTTTAACCATGTCAGAGGAGAATGTTGCAAACTGTTTAGAAAAATACAGGTGTGCTTGTAGACAAAATGTGGGTCAATAACAACAGCTTTGCCAGTGAATCCAGTTACCACACAGTTCAGAACTGCACTGTTGAGAACATGAGTCCAGCTAACAGAGTCAGCAGAACCTAAGCCTATTTTAATTGTCCCTGAACCTACTGTAGCTTGTCTATGTCCGGAGTCATGATCAAATTCCATTTATAACACAGGATGGAATTGTGTTTTAATCATGATAGGGGACACTAGCATAGCAACCATTGTGTTATAGATGGGGCCTTTGTTTACATTATAGAAGAAGGAGAATTATTTCCAGTCTCAAAAGACATCAGGACAAAGAGTAAAAGCTTAACTTTGGTCTGTGTTTCCACTCTGAAAACAACATAAAATTGGCCCCTTCTTACACAGCAGCCCAGTTGCCTGTGTGTATAAGTCACAGCTGCAGACCTTAGTGACCAAAACAAGTTTTTACTCTATTCCCATTGACCCTGTAGAGTCAGCACAGCTCAGAGGCAAGACCCTGATCCTCAGAGGTATTTAGGTGCCTAATTCCTATTGAAATCATGGGAGTTAGGCACCTAAATACCCCTGAGGATCTGGGGCCAAGAGCCTATTCCTTCCTGTGCATCACCAACCCAATTTTTACTAAGTTCCTATCAGTTATATCTGTGCAAACCCACTGCTGATTGTGGGGATGCACAGGTGTCACCAAGACCCTAGTTTGGCAGGGAGAGTCTGTATTAGTGGTGATGTTCAAAATAGAAACCAGCCCAGTTTCATTTTCAGATCCCAGGCTGAATGTGCAGGGCCAGCAGTTAAAACATAACCTTTTTACTTATGAACTCATAGAATCATAGAAGATTGGGGTTGGAAGAAACCTCAGGAGGTCATCTAGTTCAACCCCCTGCTCAAAGCAGGACCAACCCCAACTAAATCATCCCAGCCCCCCAAGCCAGGCCTTAAAAGCCTCTAACAATGGAGATTCCACCACCTCCCTAGGTAATCCATTCCAGTGCTTCACCACCCTCCACTGAGCATGTTTGATCCAGTTATTGAGTGATAATGAACAAGGAGCCCCACAATCCCATTGCCTTACAACCTTCCATTGGGCCTCCTCCCTTCCTGGTTCACCACTACTCCATACACTTGGCAGACAGGGAAGAAGAGAGGCCCTGGCCTACCACCACTGCAGGTCCATATTTGACTGGCAAGGCAAAGAGTAGGTCCTAGCCCACCACTGTCTCTACCATTCTTTGGGAAGGCTGAAGCCTCCGACTCAGCCTACCACAAATCCCAGTCTGTGGTGTATTTGCAGAGAGCTCCCCTGCTCACTGCTGCTTGATTTGCTTACTACACTTCAAGTAGTAGGGAATGGCCCAGCACATACCACTCTACAAAGTCCTCACACACTGCTTAGGTCCCTTAATGAGTCATAGTTATGCCACAGTGAACAACTAGGTGAGGAGACAGATATAAATACGATTTGTATCATCCAGAGGGGATGGGATACACTCTCTCACACACACACACACACACACACACACACACACACACACACACACACACACACACACACACACACACACACACACACACACACACACACACACACCACGTGAAGGGAACTCTGGTGTGTTATGAGAGGGAAGTAATGAGCAGCTCTGATATATCCTGTCGAATGGGAGGCAGTGCCATTTTCAGTGACAAACAAAAGTATTACAGCCAACTGCATTTAATATCCAGCCCAGAGCAAGCCTCGGATTTTCAAATGTGTCTTTATTGAACGGTTGATTTAGCCCATACAATATGAACTTTATTTTACAAGAACCTGTAGCTGGTTAGAATAACCGACACAGAAAAAAAATGATCATCATTGCCTTTTACAATATTGGACTAGAGCGAAAACAGAGGTAAATGCCACAATCCAGTTAAAATAACCTAAAACTAACCCGAACATAAAACCCCACATGTAACAAATGGCCAGAATTATTCCCACAAACATCACGGTGCTAGGGGGAGGTATGGACACAAAATCAAACACCCCAGGTTGCAGCTGTCTCCCCCTGGGCATGCACGAGCGAGAGCATGCATGAGTGAGAGAGAACACACGTGTAGAGGTAAGTGTGTGAGCAAGCACAAGACTGGGGGGAGAGAAGTGCAATGGCTGCTGCTACCCCCAGCATGCCTTCACCCAAAGGGATTTTCTAACCTTCAGAACATTCAGAGCTTGTGAAATGAAAGGCCAACATGGATTTCCCCCCAAAGGATAAGGAAATCCCCAATAAGCAGAGAGGAGTGGAGGGAAGAGGGCTGAGGGAGAATTATGTCATGACATCCTAGGCAACACCCAAATGATCTATAATGGTATTTTGAGCGCGAGATCATCCCAGGAGGACTATCCCAGGAGGCGTGCAACAGAAAAGCAAACCTGAATTCAGGATGCAAATAGGGAACGCTTACCTATATGTTTCTCCTCTTGTTCCCCTTTCTAAAGCAATGCATCTCTGTCCTCACTGCAGTACATCCTGCCAATGCCCCTCAATCCTGTCCTGCAGCCCGCCCTGCTTTTCCAGTCCTGGGCTTCCCACACCACTCTGCCAATGTCCCTCAATCTTGATCCACAACATGCTCTTCTATTCCTATGCATTTTTGTGGAACAACAGTTAAAAAAGTTGGACAGAGAAATCATAGGACAAAATTCACACGTGTCACCAGAGGTTAGCTGCTTGTCTATTTCTCTGCTCCAGTGAAGTGCTAACCCAGATTTTTCACTCCCCATTGTCACCTCCCCAGGAAAATATAGGGAGTTGGAGTAGAATCATCTTATGAAAATAGAGTGTTTATCAGATGGCCCCCCCTTCATCTGGGGTCCATCTGTTCTTCCCCTCCTCCTTGTCTTCTCCCCACCTCTAGGTCCCTCCCTCCAACCCCCATCAATGGAGGAATGTTTACAGTAATTAAATTCAATTATTTTATTATTACTCAAATTCCAACATAAAGCTTCCCCAAAATTCAACTCCTTCCCTAGCCTCTGATTTAACTGATGACAGTTCTAAGAATATCCGCTGTTTGTGCAACTCAAAAGGCACTGCTTTTGCCTCACAGCTTAAGTCCTGCATGGAATGGGATCTCTCGGTACCTTTATAAGGACAACACTGGCTCAGGAAAAAAATACATATATCTAAAGTATCTGTCCTGATGATGTTCAAACTACCCTTCCCCCAGGTAAATACCACTACTTGGCCACAGTGGGGCAGTATTGCCCAACACCAGGAACCCAGGTCAGAATGTGTGCAGGGCCATGAAATACTTTGCTCTTAAAGGGCATGCAAGATCTATAAATGAGACATGGAGGGGAAGACTAAATCCAAAGGGTTTATGTACCAGGTGGGCTGCAGTGGAAGGGGCAGAAGAAGTTGTTTTCAACATGTTTGGTCCAGCACCTGAATGAAGTTTAAAAAAAAAAAAAAAAAAAAAAAAAACTCATCTTCCTCATCTCAGCCTGGGTAATTCCCAACCCCTGGTGAAGGAAAGGTTAACAGAGAAGTAGGGGAACTATTCGTGGGCACCAACTAGAATGAGGATGCCCAGCATAGGGACTTCACATGGGCACACAGAGCACCAAAGCACATGGCACACTTGAATGCCCATGCTAGATGGTGAAGGTAAGCATGAGAGGGACAGTACAGTATACTCACTCCCACATCCAGAGAATGTGCACACACCTTACTGTCACCCAGCAACCCTTCCCTACCTCCCCCACTGCTACCTGGAAGGTGTGCGAGTCTGGCTTGCTTACCAAGGCCCTGTTACTAGCTAACAGAATTCCCACACATGGCAGGGGGCAGAATGCTACAAGGGAAACCTCCCAGTCACACAGCTCAGAACCTTCTGTCAGCCAGTCAGATCACTCAATCGAGCCACGTCTCCTCCCTCCTCCCCCCACCCCGCTGTAAAAGTAACAATAATAGTAATAATAATAATCAGATGTGTGAAAATGATGGCATTGTGTATGTAGTTCTTTTCCAGTTCTCTCGCCTCAATCTTCCTCCTCTCCGACGTGGATCCCCCCTCCCCCCCACCATTCCTGTCAGTCCGTTATGCCTGTGCGCCCGGAGACCAGCGCTCACTTGCCGTAGACACTCTCATCGCTGTAGGCCACATAGAGAAAATAGTCCTCCTCATGGTTATCCTGGGAGTGGGAGGGGAGAAAGGAAGAGAGGGTGAGACACACTCACCATCTGGGAACATCCCCAACCAGGGTCCATTGTAACAGCAAAAGGAAAGAGCATTTCTTTGTCACGGTCTCTCTCTCTCTCCCCCAGGGCCTTATTTCCTTCCTCCACAGAGCACCCTGGACATGGCTGAGTACAGAACAGCAAGGTTTCTTTGTGGATGTTTCTGGTCCACACAGAGAAATGGTTTTGCCCCAAATGCTTGTGAAATAATAGAAATGGATCCTTCCATTTGCATGCCATTGAGAGGTTGTGGGATGGGAGTTGGAAGAATGTGGCACTAGAGCTACACTGGAAAAGAAACAAAACAAACCAAACCCCGCAGCAGTAAGCCTCAGAATCAACTGATTCAGGGTCGCAGGGCTTGTGCTCCAGGGCTAAAAATAGCAGAGTAGGCATTCCCGCTCTGGCTGGACTCTGAGATCTACTCCCTGTCAGCAGGTTTCGGAGCCCGGGCTCCAGCCTGAGCCCAAATGTCTACACTGCAAATGTATAGCCCCGCAGCCTGAGCCCCATGGGCCCGAGTCAGTTGACCCATGCTCCAAGACTCGCTACTGCACTTTTTTTTTTTTTTAATTGGCGTGTAGATGTATCCTCAGTTAGCAGCCTGGCCCTAGGTTTCAGGGTCCTGATCCTGAGAACTGCTAGGGTAGGAGACAAGCCAATGAGAGTTGCAAGTCATGAAACGGCATTCAGCATCAGGCCCTTAGGTTGTGAAAAGAAAGCTGAGAGGTGTTAAATACATAGTACCCCAGCAATTTACAAACACTGAAAGTCACTACTGTTCAGAACACAAGGTGCATAAGCAATTGTTCTCCATGTCCTCTGATGGTAGGACAAGAAGTAATGGGCTAAGTCTGCAGACAGGGAGATTTCGGTTAGATATTAGGAAAACTTTCTAACTATCAGGGTAGTTAAGCTCTGAAATAGGCTTCCAAGAGAGGCTGTGGAATCCCCATCATTGGAGGGTTTTAAGAACAGGTTGGACAAACACCTGTCAGGGATGTTCTAGATTTACTTTGCCCTTCCTCAGCGCAAGGGGCCGGATTTAGAATCATAGAAATGCAAGGCTGGAAGAGACCTTGAGAGCTCATCTATTAACCCCATTTTACAGATAGGAAAGCTGAGGCACAGCGAGATTAAGGGATCAGCCTAAATTCACACATAAAGCCTGCAGCTAAGCCAGGGATAGACCCCAGATCTCTCCAGCCTCAATGCTCAGCTCTAATCACTAGACCTATCTTCTTCTTAGGTGTCTAGTTTGAAAATGAGCCTTGGTGTCTTTATCTTCTATCACCTTCATTAAAAAAAAAAAATCCATCCAGGGTTACTGATGGATAATGATTGTACTCAGGACAGTCTGAGGAAGCCCTTTTAAAAATGCCATTATTACAGTGAAAGGAAGATTTAGGAGATTCTCCTGCTTTTGATGGAGTCACCCCATCTCAGAAAGCTGTAAAGCAGCCCCGCCAGAGATAATGTTCCTTGGGGTCATAAAAGTTTTTCCAAAGGGCAAGTTATTTGCATCTAGAATGGACCAGGTGGCACCAATTATCAGGTGTTCTCAAAAAGTGATCACTGGAAGATGATCCTCAGACTCCCTATGAGGTCTTCATATACAGATTTCAGATTACACATGCTGGTCCCTGCAGTGTACTATCAAACTCAGTGTATTTTTCAGCATATGCACTTATTATGTTTGTTTGCCCACTGGTGTGGTTCCTCTTCCTGGCTAAGAGAAAATGTCTTTGTTTAAACAAGAAAGCAAATGAATAGGTTCTCCAGTCACTCATCTGAGCTATGAACAAAGACACCCGCTGGGAAATGGGGCTTAGCGCAGGCAAAAGCCAAATGTTTGTGTGGTAGCCTTATTAAATTGTTAGCAGCACATCACTGAGTAGAACAGGGGAGGCCTAACTCCCAGTCCTGTGCTTTAATCACTAGACCAACATTTCCTTCCAGGATCTGTCTTGGAAGGAATGGGAGGGAGACTGCATTGTAACACAAAAATGTGGACCTGCCGGGACTCTCTGTGACTCCTAATCTAACACCCTTACATTAGCAAAGGAAAATAAATTAAGCATTAAATTAATTATTAAAATTCCTGTTTCCTCTGCCAAATTCCCCATGCCCCTTGGTCTAACCATAGAATGCAACATTCCAAAGAGGGCTGATGGAATTCAAGCTACAGTGGAGAGTTCCATTCAAGGAGGAGCTAATGTCAAGTAGGAATCATCAGGCGTGCAGTGCTTAGCTCTACTGAGTGAGGAGTTCTCATATGTAAAATTATTCTAGGGTATGAGTTGTTCAAGCCACTACTGCAATATAACAAGGAGATGGGCTGGGCTTACCTCATACAGCTGACCCATAGTAGCACTGGTGGGAGGGATGGTGTTATTGACAAAGAAGAATAGGGCATCCTCCGGCCTCAAGTGGATCCGCTTTCGGATTAAGAAGTAGAACTGGCCAACTGAAGAGGGACAGGAAGGGAAGGGAAACAGTGGAGGATGGAACGTGACTGATACAGAGATCACAGAGCAAAAGTCAAGAGAATGCTTGATACACACAAACTTCTGCAAATGCAACTGGACATTGATTTGTGTATCTCCTGCTTTTCTGGCCCTAAACCCCAGTTCTATCAGCTACCCTCAATGCTGCCCTGCAGCCTTTGCTATTCTAGTCCTGCACCCCTCAGTCCTGTCCCACGACCCTCCTGCTATTCCAGTCCCAGACATCTCTTAAGATGAGGTGATCACACAAGAAGAAACCCTAAAAAATGATATGGTATTAACAAGAATGACAAGTTCATTCTAGAGATTGGCCCTCCAATGCAAAGTTCAGATCTACACCTGAACTTTCCCAAAGTTCATGGTCATTTGAGTTTGGGATTTTGGTTCAACCTTTTAAAGACACAAAGGTCTGAAATAAAATCTGGATCCAGGCTGAAACTCTGACCCTCCCCGCCAAAATACAAATGCATTGGGACCTGGGATTTGATTTTGGGCTAAGTCACTCTCAGTTTCACTGTAAGAAGAGATCACAAGTGTTATGTAAAGACTAGGAAAAAATGGGCAATGCAGGAAAGAAAACAGGAACTTAAGGGTCACCACCTACCACCCAGTCCAATGTCCCATCACCTGCCTACCAGAGCTGGCCAATGTCCTGATTATACCAGTATCTCATTTTCTACCATATTGATTCAGACCACTGGACACTCTAGTCCCATATCGAGTCTCTCTGACAGCACCTTCACTTCATTCTAGCATGCAGTGCTTTAGTGAAGGGAGACACAAGGATTTCTAACCAGCATATGATCATCTGACACTTTAAATCCTGAAGCTTGTAGGCCCTTGTAAATTTTACTTTAGCGATTGTCACTGCAGATGCTATTCTCATAAAACACACTCTATTCTCATTCATAAAACACACTCTATCCTCACTAAGTATTCGCCTGAACCCTATTCCATGGGAAAGAGTTATGCAGTTAATTATATACTACAGGAAAAATGTATTTCCTTTAATTAATTTATAAATGTTTCCTTTGTTCATATGCCAAAATAAAATCAGACTTAATCATACAGTGACAAACCCAGGGCCATTTGGAAGTGGAACTTCATGACTGTCACTGCGCTATATACTATGGCCACTTAGAATTTCATGATGGGAGTATTTAGTGAATTCACATCCTCCTGCTCCAAAGATGTAGACTCTAACCACTTGAGCTAAAGGGGAATGGCCACTGGCTATTAGCTGTATTGAGGGCTATGATACACAGCTAAATCATTCTCATTATAATAAAAGGCAGTGGTGACACACACACACACAGTACCTAGGTCATTAGAATACAGTGTAATAGACAGAGCCATTCATCAAAAGAGCTCAAAGTACTTTACAAACACTAATTAAGCTCCACAATCCCCCTTGTGAGATAGATTTGTGCAATAAGTACAGAGAGGAAATTAAGTTAAAGAGAGGTTAAGTAGCTTGTCCAAGGTCATATGGCAAGTCCACAGCAGAATTGAAACTAGAATCCAGGAGTCCTTATTCCTAGTTTCCTAGTGCCAACCACTATACACACCGCCGACTTGGGTTTCCCATCCTCCCAGCAAAGCACATTCTCATTATGATGAAATAAGTGCAAAGAATTCCTGGTTATTTCCTCACTGGAATGCAGAAAGAAATGGGGCAGGGTTTGTTACCTGTGAGGTCAGAAGGCACAAGGTACTTCCTCTTGTCCAGGTCAGGTACTCTTGCTTTGGGTGCCTTCTCCACAATAACCTGGAGAGGGAGAAATAGGACATGAGAATCACCAAAGAGAGCGGACCAAAAAGTATCACTGGGAAAATAAGTGGTCCCTTTAGAGCAGCGTTTCTCAAACTGGGGTCACTGCTTGTGTAGGGAAAGCCCCTGGCAGGCCGGGCTGGTTTGTTTACCTGTCCCGGCCACAGGTCCGGCCGATTGCAGCTCCCACTGGCCGCGGTTCACTGCTGCAGGCCAATGGGAGCTGCTGGAAGTGGCGCGGGCCGAGGGACTTACTGGCCGCTGCTTCCAGCGGCCCCCATTGGCCTGCAGCGGTGAACCGTGGCCAGTGGGAGCCACGATCGGTCGGACCTGCGGATGGGGCAGGTAAACAAACCAGCCCGGCCTGCCAGGGGCTTTCCCTACACAAGCGGCGACCTCAGTTTGAGAAACACTGCTTTAGAGAGATGGTTCTTACAGGCCCATGGAAATTCTCTCAAGCTCTGCTGGGGGACCAACACTCAAAAAGCCAGGGGGCTGCAGAACAGGATTGAGTGGCAGTGGCAGAGCTGTGTAGGGAGCTCAGGACTGGAATAGTAAGTGTCAAAGAGTAAAGTAGAGAAGGGAGGAACAGTTGCAAGGTTAGACCACAGGAACTGCAAAATCAGATCAGACTAATGGTCCAAGTAGTTCCGTATCTGGCCTCCAACAGTAGCCATTATCACATGCTTCAGAGAAAAGCACAAGAAATCCCATAACAGAATAGCCAGCCCACACAGGAAATTTCTTCCTAATCCCAATTTTATATATATATATATATATATATATATATATATATATATATCGAACATGGTTTACATTCCTTAAAATTATTTTATCTGATCTAATGTAACTGTGGATGTTCTAATTATCCACATAAATGTCTAAACCACTTTTTAAATCCTACTAAGCTCTTGGCCATCATAATATTTTGTGGAAATGAGTTCCACAGGCTAATTACCTGTATATGTTGCGTAAAAGAATACAAGAGTAGCAGACATAAAGTCAAATAGACAAAGAGGTCCAGAACTATGGAAGCAATATTTACAGGTACAACTGGACAAATATTTAACCCCAAATCAACAAGTACTCAAATAGTAGAGAGAGATGTGGTGGTTTGAGCAGCTTCCATGAAAACTTAACGTTCCATTTGAAATTTTTTGCTGAACCCGGGAAGCCATTCAAAAGTTGGATAGAAATTTCCCTGGCACTAACTGATTTCTCTGGAGAAACATGGAGGCAAGTAATTTCATTTTTTATTTTGAGCATGACTAGTAGAGATTGGTCACATCTTGAAACTATGTGGCCTATCATTCACCCAACACCATCTAGACTCATTTTTTAGAATGAGAGGCGGAATTTTCTGTGCTTGCCCATAGCAAGTCAGGGCAAGAAAAAACTAGGCCCAAATTTTCAAAAATGGTGTCTATTTTTGAGTACCCAACGTGAAACACCTGCAGCCTGATTTGCCGAGGTGCTAAACTCTCACAGCTCCAGCTGACATCAATGGGAGTTGCAGATCCCCAGGAGCTCTGAACAAAATCCAGCCTGACACACACTTAATGTTGGTACATGAAATCACAGGCTGGTTTTCAAAATGTGGGTCCTAGCATCTCTGTAAGTTTGGAGACTTGACTCTCCCAAGATACTGCATATGTGTGTGGTGAGTGGGATGCGTTTGTGGGTTTGGGATAGCTGTGTGTGTGTGTGTGGTGTATTCAGCATGTGAAGAATGGTGGTTTAGCAGTCGATCACCTAAACCACTTGGCCACCTCGTGGTGTTGCTGGATGTAACGGTGTAGTGTGTGTTTGGGGTGAGGGGAGAGTTGGGGGGGGGGGAGGGAAAGACTAAAGGAGTGAATGACTGTGGGGTTAGGGTTGGACTTTTCCTTCTTCCCTCCAATTTCCCAAGGCACTGACAAGGAGAACCTTGTGAAAGCAGCAGTGAGATCACCTTCTTGGTATAAGAGGGTGAATCCCAGCATGATTTTTATCTTGATGGGGAAGAAAGGAGAGGTCACAAGAAGTGTGGGACTTGGGAGGAAGAAAGGATGGTACTGGGATTACTAAATCCGAGGAAGTGTTGAGATCCAATAGAGTTTAACAGAGACTACAATTTACAAGGAGATAGGAATGAAATGGGGATGTTTGGTTGATTGGCTTCAACAGCTATTCAATTTGTCTGGATAATAAATTTACCAGGTGTCCATTCTCACGGACCTGAAACCTTCACAAAATAGCCATACTCCATCCAAACTGTCCCTGGAACTTTATCTCCACCCCTCACCCTCAGCTGTGATTCTGATCCCAAACGTTTGACAATCTGTCTGCAAAAAGATGGAGAGACATTTGGTAAAGGAAAAACCAAAGGGCAAATGCACTGCAGATTATCTCCTGATTGTCACTGAGTGGTGTTTGCTGTAGTGTGGGAGGGTACAATACGCTTGTCTCAGCTAAAATGCTTAGATGTACTGGGTGCACTGCAGAGTTAGCAGCTGAAGGGACATCATCATCAGGGATCCAGCTGTCAGGAAAGGCAGACACAGAAATGATTCAAAGAAGCTTGCCCGGTGCCTTCAGTTATCCACTACACAGCTCTGTCAATGATTTTGAGAAAGGTATTTTCCACTGTGGCCAGATGGGATTTCCTCCTGCTGTTCCAGTCCTAGATCTCTGCACACAGAGTTTTTCCTTCAGTTTACCCTAACCTGCAGCATACCTTGCTATTTTAGTCCTGGCCTCCCCCCACAGATCAACCAGTGCATCTCAATCCTGACCTGCCTCACCTCTTGCTATTCCTGTTCTGGCCCCCACATAGCTCTTGCAGTACTTATCCATCATTACCCACAACACAACCTGCTACACTAGTCCTCAGACTCCAGCACAGACCCTGACCTCACTCTTGACCTGTGGCACCCTCTATTATCCCAGGCCTAAGGCTCTGCACCTCATTCCTGACTAGCAACAACACCCACCTACTACTCCACATACACCTCTGCCACTGCACTACCTCAATTCTGACTGGCATAAACTCTTGCAAGTCCAATCATGGGGCCTCTCCTAAGGAATAAAATGGTGCTGAATTGCAGCAAAATGTATGGCAAGGTTTTTCTTTCGCCTTGCGTCCATAGGGGATTCTAGACTATTTTGGAAGGTAGCCCCTGAAAGCTAAATCTGGGACAGACATCTCCAATGGGGATGGAAAGAAAGAACATTTTGAAAATATTTAATAAAAGGGACCGCAGAAATGTAATGAGTTTAGTCCACCATTTCCCTTCCTTAATTATTATCATAAAGACAGAAGTTTTCCATAAGCATTCCAAAGGGACTTCAGGATGAGGAAGCACAGCTAGGCTGGAAGAAAATGACCTTGTTTTCGATGTGATTTTTTTTTCCACGAAGAGATTAAATGAGAGGTCAAATGACTGAGTGGTTGCTATCAATCTTCTCTTGTATGCAAGGACAAGAACAGAGCAAGGTTGTATTGAAAAAAACAGGCCAAAAGAAAATAAAACAAAAAATAAAATGAAAGAAAGATTTCTAATGACATCATACAGGCCCTCCAGTTTTCCATGAAGGTTATATGATTAACTCACATATTGTTTTCCACCATTTTTGTAAATAAAATGGTTAACTTCCCTCCCCACCTTGCAACAACATGCACACAGACTGTCATAAAAAAAGATTAGCAGCGTTTTCCCCTGCTAAATTGCTGCAGATCATGGAGGGAAGGGGCCAGAGAGATACACCCCATCACTTATTTACATATCAAATCAAATGGTATTTTTCTTGGTATATAACAATATAATAAATAGATACAGGTATATAAACACCAATCAGATCAGCAAATAAACAGTAGATTTCAAGCAGATCAGGACATTAAAATATACTAATAACAATCCCAAATCCTCTTCCCCACCCCTCCGCCTTTAAAAAAATAAACCACAGAACATTTGATAAAACCAAGGCCACACAAATTATTTGTAAAATATAATCAGCACTGCAAGGCAAGCCCAGGGGGCAGCAATCAGTACACTATACGAAGACACAATGATATATTCCACTCACAGGGACCCTGTCTGGATATTTCTTTCTGATTTTCTCCCCTTCTTTTTTTCTGTATTCAAAAGGATGATCTTCTTTGTACTGGAATTTCATGTTGTTGATCTTTTTTTGGTGTCTCAAGTTTCCCCTTTTGATGCTGCTGTTTCTTATTATAAAATATATTTGTATGTATGTAAGGTGTCTTCCAAAGCCCCTGATATCAGAGATAGTGGTTCACAGCAAATTCTGAAGAGAGCTGAGGTTCTTCGGTGCTGCTCTGAATTCTCCTTATGTCAGTTTCCCAGGCTGCAGAGATACAGCTGATCATGGAATACAAACAACGATGTAGCAAATTGGGCATTGTGATGTCACAGGGAGAAGCTTCCATCATTCTAGGCAGCACCATCTCACCTGTAGAATAGGGAGGAGAGACTGCACGTTAATTAAATCGTATTTGCACACGGCTGTTAATGAAACACATGAAGATATACCTGGAAATACGTGGTTATCATCCGTCATTGCATCACTGAAGATACGGCCTTTCAAACTCTTTCAAGTATATTTTAAGAATTTGTCCTCCCCCCTTGCTCTGTGTCCTATGGCTTGATCTACACGTTACTGCTACAAACGGGCTTCAGGGCTAAACCACTTCGGGTACAAGGGGAGGATCATGTGTTGCAAAACAAAACAACAATAATAAAAACAGAAACAAATTCTGTTTCTTTACAGTCTACCGGATGCCTGCCAGCATTTCTAAGCCATTAACAGGGGCATTTGGGACGGTAACTGGGAGCAGAGTAGGGGAGCAGATCGTCAAATGGGAAATATTTGAGTGAAAAATCTAGACTGTTCTGTCCTACTCTGTCTACGCAGGTCTTTATTCCTCCCCCAAAGTGGGACAGTTTCCCAGGCCTCTCTCTCTGTTTTTGGGATGCGATCTTCTGTGTTTGTGTCTGTTTCCCATCTTTGAGTGTCTGCTGATTAAAGCAAAACAAAGGGCTCACCATGACGCATGGGGCTACAAATAATGGTGGCGGAGCGGGCTACATAGAAGCGTGATCTGCTCGCAGAGAGGCGGTGGTGTCATTTGTTCTGAACGGAGCATGACTAATGAATGCAGGCTCGTGTGTCCATAATAACCTTTAATTTCGTAATACTGGGCTGTTTCGTCCCCTCCCCCAATGCCGCCAAGAGGCTGCGGCTCTTGTGGGAGAGATCTCGTGATTTGGGTGAGTCACACACCTGCAAATCCACCATCACCGCCTCTGTCAACAGAGCAGGAGAAGGGAAACAGGCAGACAGCCCGCCCTGCGCAGTGTCCGTGGAAAGAGACGGGAAGGGGAATCTGTTAGCGGTTTGAGCTGGGCTGCTGTGGAAAGGGGCTGCCACCCTCCAAGTTGTGTCCCCCACATCCATCAGGGAATTCTTAGACCAAAACACTTGGCATTGGAGGAAAAATATGAGCTTTAAAGTGAAGCTTGATGCTTCCTCCATTGGTGCTGGGGGAAGGGACCAACCCGAAAAATGAGTGGAGGATATTTTCAGAAATAAAAGTGCCATATTAGGTTTGTTCTCATTCATGGGATCCATAATTTATTAGTGTTTGGACAACTAGCAGTCCTTTATGACAACATTTCTCAATCCAGAAAGTCCTCCATATTTTTGAACAAATTATTAATCTGAAAATTTGTACTAGAAAGAGTTGGCTATGTTACCTTGAGGACAGAGCGCTTAACTGTGGCTAAGGAGACCTGGGATATGGTCCCAGTTTTACCACTAGCCTGTGTGGCCTTAGACAAGTAGTTTTACCTCCCTGTTCCTCAGTTTCACTATCTGTAAAATGGGGACCATACTGATCTCCTTGGTAAAGCGCTTTGAGATCTGATGAATAGCACTAGGTAAGAGTCATGTATTACTACTTTTCACTGTTCCTTATTCAGTATTTGTCATTCATTCATGTTTAAAATAGTTCAGTCATCCAATTAGGGTGCAGAAACTGTGCAACCAATTCGGTGACCTGCTAAACAACAGAAATGGCAAATAGTTGAAGTGAACAGTTTGTAAACAAGCTATAGGCTGGCCATTATTCATCCAAGTTATTCAGCGGACACTTATAAACAACAAAGACATTCCAAGGAAATCAGTATCAGTTCACAAGCCAGTTACTAACCAAGAGAATCTCTTAATGCAGGGGTGGCTAACCTGAGCCTGAGAAGGAGCCAGAATTTACCAATGTACATTGCCAAAAAGCCATAGTAATACGTCAACACCCCCCCATCAGCTCTCCACACCCCCAGCTCCCAGCGCCTCCTGCCCACCAGCAGCCCTGTCAATCAGCGCCACCCCTTCCTTCCCTACACCTGCCGATTAGCTGTTTCATGGCATGCAGGAGGCTCGGAGGGGGAGGAGCGAGGACATAGCAGGCTCAGGGGACGGGGCAGAAAGGGTGGAGTGGGGGCAGGGCCTGTAGCAGAATCAGGGGTTGAACAGTGAGCACCCCTCAGCACATTGGAAAGTTGGTACCTGTAGCTCCAGCCCCAAGGTCGGTGTCTATACTAGGAACCTCATATTAACTTCCGAAGAGCCTCATGTGGCTCCGGAGCCACAGGTTGGCCACCCCGTCTTAATGAATGGGTCAGCCAGCTCAAATCAGTAAATATATATCAGTTTTGTAAAATTATTGCAAAAATGGATCAGCACATGCACAAATTCTACTTGCTTACCCAATGCCATCCAGTGATGTTTTATTTGCCTATCAAAATGTATTCATCCATTAAATTTAAGAACATAAGAACGGCCATACTGGGTCAGACCAATGGTCCATCTAGCCCAGTATCCTGTCTTCTGACAGTGGCCAGTGTGATATTGCACCCCATAATGCTTTATGAGTTTATTTATGCTTATGAATGTATATATAACATAACTGGAATATGTTTTATGCCACATATGCCAGGTAACATATCTCTGTAAAGGTTATGATCTACTGAATATATTCATCCTATTTGTATGCATGTATCAATTTTGTATTCGAAGTTATGAATATTGGCTATGTACTTGTTTAATTTAAGTCGCCTTGGTGAAGCAGTTGGTCAGCTTCCTGAGAAAAGACTATTCTCAGTAAGTGCCTAATCAAGAAACTCTTAAGCCAACAATGAACTTGGAGATGCCAATCCACATCTGAGCTTTCCCAGGAATGTGGCCTGGCTGGTAAGGAACTCAGTCATGCATCGACATGTGACTTGCTCATATGACTCCAAAACTCTATCTTGGAGCTGAATTCTGGATAGGAGAGAGGAAGGGGTCTCCACCCACAAGAGAAAGTCTATTTAAGCCTTTGAGACACCCCTCCATTTTGTCTTCAGCTGGCTCAAGAGATAGCCTCTCCACCCCCCAAGGACACCTGAAAGAAACTGGAACAAAGAACAGTAACCACAGGGGTGTGAGTAATTGCTGGGCCCAGACTAGGAGGAGACTAGTCTGTAAAATAAGCTTACTGTAACATCTCTGAGGGTGAGATTTCATCTGTAATCGCTTTCTTACTGTATTAGGCATAGACTTACGTGTTTTACTTTATTTTGTTTGATAATTTACTTTGTTCTGTCTGTTATTATTTGGAACCACTTAAATCCTGCTTTTTGTATTTAATAAAATAACTTTTTACTTATTAACCCAGAGTATGCATTAATACCTGGGGGGGGGGGGGAGGCAAACAGCTGTGCATATCTCTCTATCAGTGTTATAGAAGGTGAACAATTTATGAGTTTACCCTGTATAAGCTTTATACAGGGTAAAACAGATTTATTTGGGGTCTGGACCCCATTGGGAGCTGGATATCTGAGTGTTAGAGACAGGAACACTTCTTAAGCTGTTTTCAGTTAAGCCTGCAGCTGTTGGGGGATGTGGTTCAGACCTGAGGCTGTGTTTGCAGCAGGCAAACGTGTCTGGCTCAAACCAGGCAGGGCACTGAAGTCGTAAGCTGGCAGGGAAAACAGACTCATAGGTAGTCAAAGCACATCAGGTGGCAGTCCCAAGGGGGTTTCTGTGATCCAACCTGTCACAGCCAGTACCAGATGCATCAGAGGGAATGAATAGAACAGGTAATTATCAAGTGACCAATTCACCCGTGACATTAAGGCTGAAAGGGTTAAGCAACTAGCAGGCTAAATGATCTAAATTCAAACTTTTATGGCATGTTAGAAAAGTATATACATGGTAATTAGAGCTATTCTTTATAAATAGCTAACATAGCCATGTTAGATAGACTAGAGCTTTCAAATGGAAACCTGTATTGTTAGAGAATTAGAGGTAATACTAATTGCATATGTTTATCTATATCTTGTTAAAGTTAGATGTTAATCATGTAAACAGACGGTTCCTATCTGTTACTATATCTATTGATTCAGAGATCAAAAGGGAATATTAACATTTAGATGAAACTTGGGTGTAATAATGTCATTGTCTATATTTTTCTTTAAGTTTGTAGTAAACTATGAACTGCTTAATGGATAATTATCTTATGCTGATGAATGCAACTAGTTACCTATATATACATATATAAGCAGAGTCAGGATGAACTCTACCCTGACATCTGGTGGTGAATTATGGCGAGTGTGGAAAAGAACTCCAGGGGCTGATCTTGTTTGCATAGGCACACCCACTCGCCTGGCATGGAACACAGCAACTGAAAGTGGTTACTTTGGCTGGTGTGGGACCCCCAGTTTCTCTATTATTGGGGCAGGAAGAATAAAGTTTTGTTACCCTGATTCTGTGAATCAAGGCCAGTGGAACTGTTGTATGACAGAAGGACTGAGTGAGTCCTTCACCATTACCTAAGTAGCACTTGCTTGACAAGGGGCATGGGTTACAAAACCCAGTGAATTGAGAGAGGATGGGGACAGGTATGTGTACCTGATGGTATGGGCCCCCTCTGAGGGTTTGAAACACCAATTGCACCGCCTCCTCTCTCCACTGTTGAATATCAGAGCGAACTTTGATTCCCTTAGGAGTCTAGTTACAGGCTGCTGAGCTGAATTCACTTTGGGCCAATGGTGTACCAGCACTGGGGCTCCCCTACTATACTATGAGCTGAAATCGCTAAGAGCTGAAATCACAAAAGAGCTGATGCTATTAAGAGCTGAGATCACTGAGGCTATGTTAACTAGTGGGGGAGCCTGAAGCTATATTGCTCAGCAGCTGGCGGAGCAATTTGTGGGGACGACTGGAGGAGCAGCGAGCGGCGTGGAGCCTTGCGGGGCCGGTTGGAGTGGCCCAAGGAACGGCGAGCAGAGTTGTTTGCGGGGACGGCTGGAACGGCTCACAGGTCGGTGAGCGGAGCGGAGCGGAGCAGCTTGTAGAGCGGAGCAGTTCGTGGGATGGCAGGAAAG